TTATTTGCGATATATAATATTTTTGCATATTACGTACATGTAAATTTTCCATAAATGCATAAACACCCACAATTTAGTAATGAATAAATGCAGTATTATTATAAAAGTGTGGACATGACTTTTTTAATTCCAAATAAGATAATATGATACAGTGGAAGTTATAATGGAAATCTGGACAAGGTGCGATTTCAACCTTTCCATCGGACGACAGATTTTATAAACAGATTCCTCTTTTATAAACACTTTTCGCCTATAAATAACCTGCCTTTTGCTTTTACTGTTCGGCTTGGATGCCGACGGTACTCTACGAAATAAGCTCTCTCCTTCTCACCCCGCGCCTTTCCCACGGCTATGTTCAATATTTAATCGCGATCGGTGAAAGTGTAGACTGCCAATTTCGTCGAGCGTTTCTAACTAAAAATAAACCCCGACTGTCCCGTTTTAATTCCACCCTTCCGTATTTCGATCCAATCTTCCGTCTTACTCTGCAGAGAAAACGAAGAATTATAAGGTTGATCGGAAAGTTCCGTCACTATATTTTACCTGTTACGTTTACGACCAGCTTTCTGGATTTCTACGAAACGCAAGAACCTTAATTCTACAGGATGGTTCATATAATTGGATTAAATTCTTCTTTCAAAGCAATAGAAGATAGGAATAGGAATTTTATTAAGCAAAATAAGATATTTTCAAATAATGTATGTGTCTGTTGGGAAAATGTAAATGTTTGAGAGATTCGAAGAATCTTTTTCTTCTTCCTCTTTTTTACGCACCTTCTGACATAAATATTTTGCATTGAAACATATGAATCTTACCTTTACCTTCTCTCCATACAAACATGATTTTCTCGTTGCAGATTATGCGAAGGTCAACATGTTGCACATCGTTGAATTTGTTTTTTATCAGCTATAAGACTGTTACGATGAAAATAGGTTTGTCCTGTTTAAAAATATTTCGATGACATTGAAATCTTGAAAAAAGTAACCTTGAGAAAAATTTTTTATCTATCACCACATTTACTCCTTCGGACCGAATATATGCTTCCCTTGATATTTTTGCCTATCATAAAAAATAACCGAGATGCTTAAGATGGTCAGGTTAAGCGAAACACCCTGCATATTCTTATCATTTGTAAAAAATTCTTCTACTTGGTAATACTATATATTTTTTAATATTTCAATAATAAGTGTGAAGAATTCTATAACGAGGAAGTAAGTTAAAACGCGATAAGTTAAAAGACAGTGTTAATGAATGAAAATCTTATTGAAGAAAAAACCGATTTCTTCTTTCAAATACATAAACGAATATAACTTTCAAACATCCCAATACATAAAATGTCCCAATACATAAATTGTACGTCTAAACTATTCCTACTGCTATTCAAAATGCGAGCAGACAATTAAGAGAAATGTGTATAGTTTCGAAATGTAACGGATAACGATTAAAAAGTTCGTTCGGTGTTGTTTTAAAGACGCTAAAAGACGCATTAATGCATAAAAATGTAACCCCTGAAACAAAATAACTTTCTACTTACGAGTATATATACTCTACTCCATTACAAGACACCATGTACAGTAAAACTTACTATTCTGCATGCTGATATCTTCAGATGTTTTATTCAACCTAAGCAGTTCGCTTTCGTAAAGTCTCCAACAATATATTATAGCGTCAGTGTATAAGTTAGGATAAGCGTTACATTATAAATACATTAAGGAAACAGAGTTATCGGTGGAACTGACTGCCGATAGTTTTCTTTTTATTTTTAATCGTTAGCAGACGATGAGGGGCTGGTGGCCACGTACAATCCTTGTGAGGCATGTAGGCTTAGGCCAAAAAGGATGTGCGTGCGTGCGTGTGTGTGTTTGTAGCCAGTACCTGTGTGAAGACAAGAGAGTCTTCGCCAGGGAGTGTAAGCGAATGGAATAAATTAATAGTTCAACTTCCCGTGACAGTCATCCGCTCTGTTATTCCTACAATATTAACTATTGTCCAGGTCTTACAATTAATTTTATATCCTTTTTTCCGGCAGCCCGAAATTTCTCATAAATATAAGATAAGGTTGACCTACCGCTGATAAAATTGTTCAGCAGTACGCAGGCTTTCTTCTCGCGCTCCAACAACGTGTTTCGAGTTGGGTACCGGCGTCCGAATCGAAATAGAACAAGTGCGGCTTATCGGTTGCCGCGACCCAAAATATGCAAGACAAAGACCGGGTCCTTGGGTATTTTCAAATGGGGGAAGTTTAAAATACAAGAGGCAATAACTGTGGCATATATATAGAAATCGTGAAGATACAAAACGAACAGCTGAAGGGATCAGATGTTACCTTGGGGTTGATACTTTTAGAAGGAGAAGGTTAAAGAGAACTTTTGGAGTGGAACAGGAGAAGGAAATGGAAATGGAGGGTAAGATTAAAGTTTTCGGGAATACATGATATTATGCTGGAGATCCACAATTCCAGCTGTTCCATGTTAGAGATATTTTAGAATGTTTATCACTGATTCTCCGATCAAGAAGCATTAATTGCAATGCATGTACTTTTATCGATGACTTATAGGATTATTTATTTTACTTTCAATGGATTTTTAGCAATAGTAGTTCAAGTTCTTATTAATATATCTATATTATGTATTTCAATATTTCTTTTTCATTCAGAAATAATCTTATTCAATTTCAATTATCCAAGTCCTGTCTGTTTTTAAATAAAATCACTTATAATTTTTACATTCATAAACTCCAATCCACTCTTCGGACTCTAGCATATTCCATTTTTATTCTAATTTAAGTACACAGATCCACCGTGCCGTTATATCCACATGGACATGCAAATGAATACGTTGACTCGAAGGAAAACGACTTCCTCTCTCCAGCGACTTAACTTAGGACAATATAATGGGAATATATTAGGAATATATTAAATAACTCTGGTATAATTACTATAGGTATAATGGGTTGGTGGGATGGGTAAATCGTCATCGATAAGGGCGCAAATGGTTTCCCCCGTTTCCTGAAAACAATAAGGGTGCAATTCGCGGGACAAAAGACTCGCGAAATCTCGCGGACAAAAGACGGAACAATAGGTGTCTCCCTTTTCCGTCATATCAGCTGGGACAGCGCGCGTACACGCTCCTATCAGCGCGGCCACGCGAGCCTGCAAGCGACCGATTTTTATTCCACACTGGAAGAATTGGCGATAACGGCCGCCTCGAACCTCGGTTTCGATCGATGCACCCTGTTCTGCTTAACTGATGTTCCGATTATAAATCGATTCGGATCGTGTATGTAGAATGGCTTAGTTAAAAAAGTTAATTTTTTAAGAAGAATAAAAATAACATTGTAGATATAATCTGCAGGTGAGATACAATTGTAAGTAGACTGAGTAGAATTATATTTTTATGTAGCATAAAGCAACTTCTTAAGTAATAATATAAATACAATATAAAGAAATATTTTTGATAGGTAAAGGATTCGTTTTACTCGATAGAAATTATAACCAGTGCTTTACTTTCGATATTTTATATACTTAAAATTTCTTACTCCAGTATATACATTCTGTATGTATGTTGCATTTTCAAATTTACCATAAATTGCCTAGAAATCTGAAGTTTAGATATAATAGATAAATAATGATTGATAAAGTTTGGACTGTAAATATAGAAATAGATCTAAGTAATTTGATGTTTGATTGAATTGGGGTTCGATGATTGTTTGAGGAGAATGAAAATGATGTAAAGTTATAGGTTTAGTCTGGAAACGGACTATAGTTATGATAAAAGTGTAGTTAGAAAGGAATAAATAATAGATATTGATTAGTGAAGTTCGGATTATGCAGGGCTTAGCATAAGTAGATCGTTGAAGTTGCTTCAGAAATTGTATTAGGAGACTCTAAGTATTAGATATATGTGTAGTATAGTAAGTTATAGATAATACAATTATGGTTATAGCAGGCAAGCATAAAAATGACCGAGTTTATGCAAAAGGTAACATATGTATTGTTCTGAATAAAATGTAATGTTACCAAATTAAGATGTCTAAATGTTTTTACAAAAGACAAGTTTTTATAATGTATGTAATAACTTGAATACGTAAGGAAACTACGTACAATGGACAGTAATATATTTCAATGTATGGCAAAAATGTAATACTCGTAAAAGTCAACGTAGTCTGAACAGGAATGGAATTGAAAATTGGTCTAAGTTTAAAGATTTAAATATTTGAATAAACCTAGGTGTATAGTAGCAGATAATTCTAGAGTGAAAAAAGACAATATAACTGCAAAAATATGATAGCAATAAAATATGTAAAAGTATGTAAAAATTACATGCAAATTCCCGTGATTTCAATAAAGTTGACAATGATTCAAAATTTTACGTGCAATACCTGGTCATTTATACCAGTAACAATATTTCAGAGAAGAAGTAAAAAATATAAAAAAGAATCCTGAACACTTTATATACATACCATTGTTAAAATAGGTGCTGTTGAAATTGGTAAAAACGATAGATATCATATATCAAAATCTTAGTAAACAATATAATACTTGATATTCTGCTGCGTATCTATCCGCTGAATATTTCATTACCAAACTTCCATTTTTCGAAAGAATCGACTAAATATTCAAAGAAACGTAAAAATATTGTTAAACAGGTCAATGAATGATTATAAGTATAATATACAATAATAAATATATATTTCTAAAATACTTACTGGGCTTTAATACAGGTATCGTAACATTAACACCAGAATTCCTGACTTGTAAATCTATTAATCTATTAATCTATTAACATTAATACATTATTATAGAATGATACGATAAAAACAAACCTATGTACCTATTTGATAAATCAAATATATCATATTTATAAGTCAATAGAAATTTTGCTATAGAGCGCTCGAGTACTTTTCCAAAACCTACATAATCTTTCTCCTTTTATTAAATGAAATTTGGTAATTCTAGTGTTAAAGCAGATCATTTTGGATTCAACAGATCATGACACGAATATCTCTGTACAATTCTTTTATTACATTCAATGATACACCATAGTTACATACATTCATTCAAGCATAATGTACGCCGTTCATCGATACGAGTCTAGCTCGCCGAGAGACTCCAAGAAATTCTTTCTCCTTCTCCTCCTCTCACCCTTAAAAACGGGATTCCGCTTCAGCGCGGTTACCAGGAATTTGCATTTCTAACTTCCGCGAGAACTTTTACCGTGGAGCCCGGATCTTCTCAGTGCTCCATGCGTTCCAGCTGCAGCTCTGCATCGCGAGACTATAACTTCCGGCAATTCGCGCGCGCCATCACGTCGTCCATACGACGATCTCGTGTCTCGATTTCCGTGCACAAGCGCGTCGATGAAAATCGCAAACGACGATCTTTCATCCTCGATTGCGTCGCAGCCGCGTCTGTAGCGTCGAATCTTTGCTCGAAAGACCGATCTGCCTAAAGAAAAGTACGCAAATTGCAGATCTCTTTCTCTCTCTTCCTCGATTTCCGTTCTCCGGATTTCAATCGGATTTAATTTGATTTCTTGGTGTTTGCACGTGCAACGATGCAAAGCACACAGCGAAAAATACAAGCGCAATCGTTATAATGGATTTTATCTTTATAACAAGAAGTGCAAATCGTAATCAAGATCGTTCTTGATTAAATTTTTATTTCCGAATATTTTTTAACACGTTTTTTTCTTTTTGTTTTTTTCTTTTTTTAGTACAAAAATGGAAATGTGTGATTCTTTCGTAATATAGCTTCGGTTGTTAAACGATTACAATTTTCAAAAAGCTTTCGTATGTGTCTGTGTATATATATATATATGTATGTATATATACATGTATGTATGTATACACTGTAAATGCTCGAAAAAGTGAAATTCAGCATCAAAATAGGTCGCGCTTAGAGAGTATAGGAGTTGTTAGTGTTAACATCTACTTTTTGGCCCCGCATTAATGAACGAACTCGACGTTTCCTGCGAAACTGTTGTGTATGTGTGTGCTACGGAAAATGTTCGAAACTTGTTACGTTCGATTATAACCTTCGCTTCACATTCTTCTTCCTTTTTTCGGAGTCGGATAGTAAAAATTTTAGAAAATCGTTATGTGTATAACTCTTTACGCTAAACCATTTAATATTTAGGAATAATATATATTGTTTACTGAAGTGTATATTATTTTACTATTACTTTTATTTGCTGAATACCTTGATTAATGTTCTAAGATACAGAATTTTTCATAACAAAAATGTGAGTCAAAGTTTTGAAAAGAAAAAGATATTTCAACTCTGAACCACAGATATCTAACCCCTTCCCGTACTTTGTCGAGTCAGACTCGCGATGAAGATTTTGGCCCGAACATGAATATCGCGACCAGATACTTGGGCCAAACGTAAACATAACAAGCCGAGCTCGCGGACTGTTTTTTGCCCGTTACGATCGTGACTGAATGTTAGTTCCTGTCAGTACCTCATAACAGTTAGTCACAATTCTTATCGTTACTGTTACGAAACAGTTCAATTATTAAAATTTAAGAAACCCCTTCAAAATGGAAGATACAAAAGTGTTAAATGAAGACAGTGACAACGAATCCTCTGATAGTAACGTGATTATACCAGTCGCAAAGCGTGTAAGGTGTATGATTATACATGAGAGTAGCGAAGAGGAAAGTACGACACGACAATAACCGAGCTCGCGGATTGTTTTGTTGCCCCGTTACGATCGTGACTGAATGTTAGTTTCTACATTTTGGTTCGTATTGCGACTGTTTACGAGCATCAGTCTGGTCTGTTCAGCGCGCGTCGATGTCTACCGCTTGGGCCCGAGTTTCGTCCAACTAAATGGCACGGGAAGGGGTTAACAATGGTAAACAGCTACATATATTGTCAAGATGTTGTAAGTAGTCAAAAGAAACATCCACAAATACCTAAGTGTTGCAGAAATTGTATTCTTAACCTTGGGGCATCATCTAATTCACGTAATTTAAATATAGAATAATGCTCGGAGTTATTTTCGTAAACCGATGACTCATCGACATGTAGGTACCGGTAGTTCTATTTTTAGCACGGTATGTCAACAAACGACACTTTTGTCGCCCATTGAGCGTCGGCGGGCTCGAGCCTAGGCTGTTTTCTGTTAAGACAGTGGTCTTGTGGTACCTAAACTTTAGCATACGCACACAGGTTTGACCGTGTTTACGTCGATCGCGAGTTGTTTTGTCAAACGTCAAAGCGGAAAAGGCGCTCCGAATTATCTTTGTCAGACGTGCAGCATTGTCACTTTTGCAAAATTTTTCGACCGCGCGTTCACCAACTGACTGCAACTTTTCTTACGATTTGCATAGTCGAATATTGCTGGCCTTATCCGCGTGCCTCGCAGTTCCAGTACTCTAACTCACTCGTACGCTTCACGTAGTATGAGTTGCATTTGTTTCGCTTGTCAATTGTTGATTAGCTCTAAGCTTTATTTCTCGTGTTCACGTTTCTTTAAATTTTGCTAACGTGTTTGTATACTTTTACTTGAATTCTCTTTGCATCCATACTTTTTCGTTATTTCATTGTAGTCGCATTTCGTTGTGATTTATACGTTATATAAATTGGTTTAATCGCCTTTGGCATTCTGCATCGTCTATCTCTGTACCTTATCATTTGGTCAATTATACTCCACACTAACAAATTAATTATAATATATAAATTTCTAATAAAAGTCTAATTTATCTATGTGTAGCTTTATGCTTCTGCTACTTCTTCTTCTACAAGAAAACTGGCTGCTACAATTAACAAGTTTCGAGCAATTTCCATACGAGTTATCCGTGCTTGATATTGTGCCCAGCGTTTCATCCTCGTGTATTCATGCAACACGTAGAAACGAACAGAAGACGAGAAGATGAAACATTGTAGAAATTGAAGGAAAAGAAAGAATAAAATCTCGAAGTGTACACGCATGTCGTGTACACTGGAACGAAATAGTCAGCTTGAAACTATATCCCGAATTGCTTACCGACGACACCATAGTCGCAAGTCGGACGATTTTTGGCAATGTCGATGGAAGTAGCTGAAAAACAAATCGTATCGATAACTCGAAGAGATCTTGGCACGGTACACGAACGCACACATAAAACAAAATGCGACTGGTCCATCGAATTGTGTTTCCAAAAACTTGGGAAACGTACAGGTAAGCTTACACGAGTTTACGAATCGATCGCAGTCTAGCTTTTTTATCTTCTTCGATCGATTTAAAATAGACGATGCTTCGATGTGTACGCTAATATACTTGTTATATTATATGTAAATGACTTTAATAATTAAGATTCTTTCACAAAGACGCATACGTGAGAAACATTCGTGCGAGTCGATCAACAATAATAAAATAGCACACAAGTTAGAAGCAATAAGTGCAGAGATTTAAAAAAGGTGATTTCGGAAATTGATGGCTTCTAATATTCGATGTCCCTGGGCAAGAAATTGTTATTGACATTAAACATTTTCAGATTAACTGTTTCAACGCAACTTGTCGGTTCTTGGTTGGATAATAATAAAAATTATGTTTCTTTTATTTCAGAACTTTTTCTTCGATTCTGATAATATGGAAAAGTAAACAACAGAAAACGACAACTTACAATTTTGAAATTCAAGGCAATTACGAGTATAATAAATAATAAAGTTGCGTGAATGATTTTTATATAAAACAGTCGGCTGACGATAAATCAGCTTTGCTTAGCTCATCGAGCACTCGAAATCTGCAAATTTCTGAACTCCCGTTTTTTAACTCCCTGCACAATATCCCGAACGTGATAATGTATAGAGGGCCAAAGGAACATTTCCCACCTTCGTCGCTGGAAACGTTTCATTGGCGCAAGTTAGTCTCTTCGAGATTATTAATATTTACGTAAATATCAGAATAATATAAACTGCGGTATTCTGTGTTATATGTATATCGAGATATTTTCGCATCACGCAGACGTGTGTTTCCATAGCCTATATCTCGGCAATCAGCAGTGCAACACACAAGCTTTCATCAAGCAAAACTTTCTTTGAAGCATTTCTCGCGAATATGCTGTGTGGATCCATAATAGATTTGAATGAAACTTTTTTTTAATAAAATGGAATGAAAAAATTTGCTGAATAATCAATTAAAAGTGATACTGTTAAAATGATAACAATTGAACATTTTATATATCTTATTTTTAGTTCTTCCATTAAGTTCACTGTAAAAAGAGAATATTGAAATTAGACAACTGAGAAGGTTAATAAGATATCTTTTAAATTACTTGAAAAATTCGTGATAAAAAATGAATAACTTGAACTTCAATAAAAGTACAAATCAAGTATAGAAATCGTTACTTTTTACTCTATAGAAAGATTTACAGAGAACAATTTTTTACTTATCGATAATAATAATAATAATAAAATAAATTCGAAAAGAAGACAAACTTATTGGAGCTGTGAGTATTTAAATTTAATATCTTCGAATAATAGTACGTTGGAACCAATTTACAATATTAAACTTTCTATCTTTAGCACGTTCAGTGTCACTGAATTAATAGTTTTCGTATAATAGTCAGAAAATTTTTCAATTTCGAAATGTATTCACGATCCATTCACGAAATAAACATTAACGAATAAACCAATATTTCAAATCAATATTTATTATTTCAAATATGAAAGCTTAAACGAAGCTCCAAAATTCATGTTTGCAAAACACTGAGCATGTTAAGGACACATACAGGGGGTTTCAAAATTAGTAGCAAGATTTATTCTACTCGTTTCGAGAGTGAAGAATGTACCATACACGTAATGAATGGTCGAGCACTTCACCATACTTAATAAATGTATTAGTGAATAGCTATTCCAAACGTCCCAAATTGTGAAATATAAATTATTGCAGAATTTAAAATCATTATAGCCCAAATTTCGAAATAATTTCGTCTAAAATATGAGAAAAAGTTTCCCAAAATCTACAAAATCGTTATATTCTCTTATCTTGTATGTTTAAGTCATAAATGATCATAATAGTTCAAATTAGATCTCAACTAGGCTACTTAGTTTCATTTTATATAGATATTAATTAGGTTATCAGATATTAATTAAGTTATATGTAATAATTAAAAATTATCAATATTACTTTTATCCAAAATTAGGTAACCTGCTTAAATTTAACTATTCTCTGTCATCTATGACTCAATAACGTCATTTAAGGATCAAACGCAACAAAGTTATGAGAATACATCCTGAAACTTCAAAATAACGTCACCATCAATACTATTTATAAAAGGAAAATGTTCGTAGTCGTTGACATAACATAAAATCGTTTTGTACCACAAAAAATAATCAAAAGCTGGTGAATCGACCAACAGAAACTCACAGAAGCATAATAAAAAATTGATTCCATCCTGCATGTTAATATGTAACCATGTATAATCAATTCACTCTCGCAACGAATAGAAATGCAATGGAGATAACGAACGACAGTTTGAAAAGCACTCTCTGTAGAAGCCTCGAAAGATCGTCAGCTTGAACATCGATCGTGAAAAGCGGTCTCGAAACGCGCACACCTTGCGCGCGCGCGCGCGCGCACG